TCAAACGCCTCACGGGACTTCTTGTTAAGCTGGGTTTTCCCTAACAAATCCAGGTTTTACTTATACAGACTGCTCCTGAGACTGCTCTTGTCCACAACATAATAAAAGACATAGGAAATGATGACAACTAGACATATGTCACAGAAAGTGATTGGAAAACAAGACAAATAGGAGCTGCTGAAACCACAATTGAAAGAATGATGCTAGGACAGAAAACGAGGGAGACAGTAATCACTTCGGATAATTAACCATAGAGATGTTATGTGGCTTTGGGGGTGGGGAGATAACATCAATTGGAGTAAGGGAATTGGCTGTTTAATCTGCTTTATAGTTGCTACGATTTCCACAGCCCTAACAGTAAAGATATATTTTTTTTTAAAGAGAGATATACACATAAATATAGAGCACTCCATCTACAAACAGGGAGGGTTCTCATGACAGGAGTCCAGGTCCCGCCTGGTCACGTGCCTGGATGACAGCACCTGAGCCCAGCAGATGCTCAATCCAAATGAAACCTTGCGCTCTGGATGGAGCCAAGGAAGGTTTCTGCTATTCAGGGGTCCTCAAGGGAGCTATTAAAACCTCGCTTCCTCATTTGAGAAAACTGCCTGAGCCAAGGAGAAAATTGAAGTCCTCTTGGCAGCAGCTGCTCACCCATCCCCTCCCACCTTCCTCTACAGAGAAAAGCACCCACACCAATGTCTGAGGGGTCTCAGGAAGCTTTGGAGAAAAGTCGAGTCGAGTCACCTAAACCAGCCGCCTTCTCCCATCACCACCTAGGTGCGAGCAGACCCTGTCTGTCTCACCCCATGCCATCATCCGGGTACGGCTCGTAGTCTTCCACCCGCATATTATACTTCTTAGCGGCGGCAGCCCGTTCTTCTGGGGTCTTGGGATAGGGCCCCGGGAGCATGTCCTTGGTAATATGGGAGGCTGGAGAGCAGACAGGGCAGGTCAGAAGGGACCCCGTTCCTCCTGAAGCTCCGAAGCTTTCAAGTTGCAGTGGCTGCAGAGGCCAGAGCCCGACATTTCCAGGGACCAGCAAAACCCTCCACCCGTCTTTTTGCTGGATATACCAACTCCACCTCCGCCCCCAGCCTAGACATGTCCGCCGCGGTATCCACGATACCCGCTCTACCCCCCGACACACCAACCCTCAGGCATCCCTTTCCCACACTGAGGCCTCGCCCGTTCTCGCGGACCTGTCCGTGCACCCAACGGCACCACGTTCCGGGATGCCCTTTGCAGCCATCGGACTCCCAGGACCCCAGCCCTGGCCGCCGCCATCTTCACCTTCTTCCCCTTTGTCCCTGCACATGCGCAAAGGCCTGGCACGGCGGCTGAGCCGGGCCAAACGCGACCGAGAAAGCAGGTAGTGAAGAAAAGTCTTAAGGCTTCAACAGGGCGGGGCTTACACGTTGTTGGGAAGCGGGAAGCCAGATGAGCCGATGGACTGAGGCAGAGAAGGAAAGCGAGAAAGGGAGAAAACCAAGCAGATCACTGCTTTGATATTTCAGATTGTTGTGTCTCTTTTCTCCCTCAGCTGACTTAGACGCATCCAAGGATAATGGGGCTTCAGAACCTGAGTATCTCAGATGGACAGCTGACGCCCCTCCCGCAGGAGCAGTACAAGTAAAGTGAGCCTGTGTTAAATATCTGACTGCTTGCCTTTTATCTCTCCTTCACTGGCACTTCCTCCTTTCATTCCCCAAACGTGATCATTCTTCAAATTCAGCCCTTGGTCTTGCTTATTCTTGTTCTGTTTTACAAACTGGTTGATCGTTTTTCACCTAATGCACGGTGCAACAAATAAATCAGGTAGAATTGGCTCCTCAGTTTCAGTCCCTGTTTACATACCAATGTCCCAGTCACCTCAATCCAAACAAATGTAAAAACAATCCAGCTATCTCCGGAGGCAGCTCTCTAGAGCCCTAGAGATTTGCTAGCACTTGGATAAATACCTTTCAAACCTGAACACAATTAACAAATAGGAGTTTAACAGAAGAATAGAGGACATTATTATATTTGCATATGAATATGTTTTCATTTTATTTACACAAGTGGGATTTGCATAGTTTACACAGTATAAATATGCAAATATTTCCAGGAACTCTTAGGGTGACCACTGCTCTGGAGCAGAATCCATTATTATAGACATTCCCAAATATATATCAGAGCAATAAAAACTGACATATACTATTCAGTATATAAATTTTGGGGAGGACTACTTCACAGCTTGTCCTCTTGTAAATGAACATCACTAGCTGATGTTCAGGATAACTGGACACTATCCGCATTCAATCAATGGCAAGGAAGCCCTGATATGAGTTAGTCTAAATTATTTATTTATTTTTGTTAAGATAAAATTCACATACCAGAAAATTCACCCCTTTAAAAGGTAAAATAAACTTATTTTTTATTATATTGTATATTTACAAAGTCGTGCAATTGTTACTATTTCTAAAAATTTTCATCACCCCCAAAAGAAACCCCATACCTATTAGCATATTTCTCCTTACTCCCACCCCTGGCAACCACTAATCTACTTTCTGTCTCTATGGATTTGCCTATTCTGGACATTTTATATAAATGGAATCACAATATGTAGCCTTTTGTGTCTGACATTTCACTTATCATAGCATTTTCCAGGGTTGTCCATGTTGTAGCATGTGTCAGTTATTCATTCCTTTTTGGCCAAATAATATTTCATTATATGAATATACAACATTTTGTTTATACATTCATCAGTTGATGGACATTTGAGTTATTTCCACTTTTTTTTTTTAAAGACTTTATTGGGGAAGCGGGGGAAGGGAACAGTGCCGGGGAATCAGGGGAAGGGGAACAGACAAGTTGCTGTCCTTTTGTTCTTCAGTCTAGTTGTAGAGGATGTTGCTTCACTGGCCCATGTTGGCACCATCATTGCGCTCTTCCCAGGTGAGGCAGATCAGTTGCCGGCCTCTGGACGGCCGCTCACGGCGGCTCTTGGCAGCTCACACCGGCTGCTGACCGCTCACGCTGGCTGCCAGCCACACACGGTAGCTCATGGCAGCCCACTGCAGCAGGGGCTGCAGCCTACGCCGTCGCCGGTGACTCACAGAAGCCCAGCTCCAGGTCGAGCTATTGTTCACCATCTTAGCTGTAGAGGGCAGTGTCATTGGCCCTCATGTGGGATCCGAACCGGACCCTGCCGCTCAGAGCTGGCGTCCCAAGCCAGCTCTTAACCAATGCGCCACTCGGCCGGCCCCTCCACTTTTGACTATTATGAATAATGCTTCTGTAAACCTTCTTGTATCAGTTTTTATGTGGATATAAGTTTTCAATTCTCATAGATATATACCTAGTAGAAAAAATCTGTCCATTTCATCTAAGTTATCTTTAATTTTTTGGCATACAAATGTATGTATATAGTATTCCCTTTTACGCCTTTTCATTTTTGCAAAGTCAGTAGTAATGTCCCTCCTTTCATTCCTGATTTTAGTCATTTGAATCTTCAGTCTAATTTATTTTTAATTCCCAATGTTACATACTAATATATTCTTGTAAAAATTCAAACATGCAGATAAAACTAAAGCTTTGATTGCCACCCACAGCCCCAAACCCTCCACAGAGTTAACCCCATTATCATTTTGGTGTAGCATAGTTACTGTGTATCATAATTACATAGTTAAGCCAGTGCATTAGTTTTCTATTGCTGCATAACAAATTACCATAAATTTTAGCAGCCTAAAATAACACAAATTAATTATCTCACATTTCCCATGAGTTAAGAGTCCAGGCATGGGTTAGCTGCGTCTCAGCTTAGGGTCTCAGAAGACTTCAATCAAGGTATTGGCTGGGGCTGCTATTTTATCTTGAGGTTCTGTGTCTTTTCCTAAGCTCAGTGGTTGTTGGAAGAATTCAGTTCCTTTCTGTTGTAGGACTAAGGTCCCTGCTTTATTGCTGGCTGTTAACCAGGAGTCTTTCTCAGTTCCCTAGAGCCTACCTGCCATTCTCTGCTACATAGTAGTTTGCTCTTTAAAGGCTTCTGTGGCTTCAAATCTCCTGACCTCTAGAGGTCTCTGACCTCTAGACCCAGATATGAAGAGCTAGAGTGATTAGGTCAGGCCCTTTTAATGAACTCAAGTTCAGACTTACACGTGGTAAATCTCCCTTTTGATGAACTCAAAGTGAACTGATCAGGGATCTTAATTACATTTTTGCCATATAATGTAACCTCATTGCAGGAGTGATACCCTGTCATATTCATAAATCCTGCTCTTACTCAAAGGGAGAGACTAATAATAGGGCATCTACACCATGGGATGGAAATCTTTGAATCCATCTTAGAATTTGGTCTCTGACAGTCAGCCATAAGAATTGTCAAAGTAAGCAATAGTTTATCAAACTAAGCAATCATGGTAATTGATAGGGCCTTTTATAACCAATATAAGTTGTTTGAAAATGTGGGATGCTTATGGTTGGCAATTAATAATAACATTGGTCCCGTGGCCAACATACCTTCAAGTAAGAGAGATGGTAGCAGAGGCAGAAAAATCAAATGATGCTAAACAAAAGAAAACCGTCTTTGGTTTTGAAAAAAATTCAACTTGCCATATATCTTTTGCCTAGGTCTTCAGAGCAACCTTTGCCCAACATCTGTTAATCTGACCATTGCTTTTCCTTCTGACTTCTTTAGGTAGGTCAAGAGTTTGCCTCTCTCCCCATCCATTAGTGTAAAGTTTAATGCCCCTCTAAACTTGCCTCCTGCTTTGCCTTTTGTGTAGGCCTGGGCACATTGAGGCAGCAATAATATTTTGTGAATTTGTTAAACAGAGATTACCCCTATTCAGTGGGAGTAACGTCTGGCCCAGGTCTTCAGGGGTGGAGTCTAGGGTGTAGAGCTGTAGGTCACCATTAGGAAGAGCTCTCCCAGGCCACGGTTCCGCGTTTTTAGTGCCTCTCTCTCTCTCGCTCTCGCATCTCATCTCTATGGTTTCCTTGTGTTTTATCCGGGATAGGTGGAGCTTCCGGTTCCGGTGGGGCCGTCTCTAGCGGCGGAGATGGCGGCTACAGCGGCGGAGGTCGCGGCCTCAGGCTCTGGAGAACCGCGGGAAGAGGCAGAAGCTCCCGGCCCCGCCTGGGATGAGTCCCAACTGCGCAGTTATAGCTTCCCGACCCGGCCCATCCCGCGTCTAAGTCAGAGCGACCCCCGGGCGGAGGAACTGATTGAGAATGAGGTAGGAGGCGGGGCCGCATCCGAAGCGGGAGGGGGAGGGAGCCGGAGCCGGTTGGGAGGAGAGGTCGAATGCTAATGTTGATGGGACTGGGGGACTGGCAAGGCAGTGGACTAGGGCCTAAGGGGAGCTGGAGAGAATGGCGAGGAGAAATGGGACTTGAGGGGTTCGTGTTGGTTAACGGGAGAAATTATTCTGAAGTTGAGAAGTAGTTGGCATCAAGGGACAGGAATCCACCAGCTCCTTGGGACGACTTCATTTGTTTTCACCTGGTGTTTTCCCTTAGGAACCTGTGGTGCTAACTGACACGAACCTTGTGTATCCTGCCCTGAAATGGGACCTTGACTACCTGCAAGAGAATATTGGCAACGGAGACTTCTCTGTGTACAGTGCCAGTACCCACAAGTTCTTGTACTATGATGAGAAAAAGATGGCTAATTTCCAGAACTTTAAGCCAAGGTCCAACCGGGAGGGAATGAAATTCCACGAGTTTGTGGAGAAACTGCAGGATATACAGCAGCGAGGAGGGGAAGAGAGGTAAGTTCCTGGATGTTGATTTTCCGTTGGCTCTCAGGCACCTGTTTTCCTTAGCTGTACTTGTTGAGGACATGGAGTAGTTGGGTGAATTCTTTTTTTTTTTTTTTTTAACTTTTATTGGGAAACAGTATGTTTTTCTAGGACCCATCAGCTCAAGCCAAGCAATTGTTTCAATCCAGTTGTGGAGGGCACAGCTCCGTGGCCCATGTGGGGATCGAACCGGCAACCTTGGTGCTATGAGCCTGCGCTAACCGGCAGCCCCTGGGTGAATGAATTCTTTAGATTGAGGGATAAGGGAGTGATGAGACTTGAACTGTGACTCTCTAGTTCTTGGTCGTCTTCATAAAGTGAGAGCCACAGTTGCCTGGAAGGGTGAGGTAGGTGAACAGAATGAGTAAAGTTGTTTGGGTAAAAAATTAAGATGGGCTGAATGCATACATCCCGTTCAAAGTGAGAAGTCATTACTTGTTTTCATTTGGGAGTGCAGTCTCTCGGTTGCCAGATACTCTGATTTTTTTTCAAGAGAAGCCAGAAATCAGGATTTTCACCTAAAATCTTATTGACGTAAATGTGAACAGCTAATTTAAATTTTTTTAAATGCAGGGGGTGGGGCAAATAAAAATGTGTCATTTGATTTAGCCCTGAGATTGCCAGTTTGCAGCCTGTGTCCTGGAATATTAGGCTGGCTGGGGACAGTTCAAACTGAAAAGTTGTATAAGTTATTGTGATTCTGGGGTGAAGGATATCATGATCCTCTAGCTTAAGGAAGATCAGGTTAGATTGGAGAGGGGGTTGGGGGTAAATATTGGTGCTCCACTTTGTACTGGCAATAGCAAGCACAAGACACACACATGGGAGTGATTCTTCCTCTCTGTTTTTATCCTTGTTTATGAGGAGAGCATCTTAGCTAGGGCCAGATAGCATTCAGTCCCACACCAGAACATTGCGATTGCGTCTGGGGAATTGCTTTCAGTAAGTACTTCACAATGAATGGCCATCTCCATCTCACATTTGCTGGCCAACCCTGGGCTTCTCTCTAGTCGCCCGCCTCAGTTGTCTTCCTGACTCCTGTTAGCAGTATGCAGCTGAGTGAATGGATTTGAAATAACTTTTTCTCATCTTCCTAACTTAGCAATTGTCATAATAATAGGACTTTGACTGAAAGAGTTTCCAGGGTCTGAACTATAATTGATCTGTTATTTATGTCTTATAAAAACTGGTTTAGTTGAGTCGTCTCGTCCATTAATTTTCTCAAAATTAACACACCTTCAGCGTTCAGACTGAGAGATCAGTTTAAACAGTGCTGGTGGAGTGTAATTCCATTCAGTGGACACATGCACTGGAATGAGCATGAGATAAACACATGGATCCTCTGGTTCCTCAGTCACTTTTAAGTCTCTTACCTCCCATAATGAGAGCATTTTCCCTCACTAAGTATGAGCTATGAATGTAGTCTGTACTTTATGGGTGATTCAAGGAAAAAATTTTCCTATGTGCAATTTTGCCCTACCAGCTGACTTGAGCACCAACCAACTCCATGGTATAATTGTACAAGTTGTTGTGATTCTGGGATAAAGAGTATTAGGATCCTCTTTTGAGTTCTTTTGAGTATTTACAGTTCAGGTATAATAGAAATTGTTTAGAGTCATGCTTCATGAGTGATCCTGCCTCTTTCAAAGTTTCTTGCAAGATTTTTGTATGTGCATGCACATTATAACCTCTGGGGAGAGTTCAAAGGTTGCATTCGAGTCTTGAGGGTTCCTTGTCCCCATAGAGGTAGATAGTGTTTCCAGCTTAAGATTTCTAGTAATTTTTGTCTTAAACAACATGATTCTAGGCACTGAGATACTTTTGAGCCTTTTGAAGTAATGTTCTCAGGACCAGGGAAGGGCTGCTGCTGCGTCTTGTCTTCCGGCTTGCCCCTTATTAACGTCTCTTGTGGGGCTTGATTAAGTATGTCTGGGTTGTCATGTCCCTTAAATAACCTCTGATTTTCCTCAGGTGTGTAACGAGCCCTGGGCCTACAGAAAGCCTGACGAGGTATCTTTCTTCAGCTGTAGAAGGCTGTTACAGAGAGGTGGCTCAATCATTAGGATAAACTAGGCTTCAAGCCAGAGCTCTGCAACTTGAAACAGCAAAGGTTTATTTCTCACACTACGTGTCCATCACGGGTCGTGTCTTACATCATCCTTTTCACTTTGGAACCCAGATTGCTCCAGCAGCTGCTGTCTGAAACTTCGCAGTTGCTGTGGCAGAGGGAAAAGATGTGGTAGTAGAGTGTACTGGCTCTTAAAATTACAGTTCAGAAGCAGCACAAGTCACTTCTGTGGACATTTCATTGGCCAAAGCAAGTTGAATAAGTAAGCCTGGCTTTAAGGGGGGCACAGAAGAATAATTCTAACCACAGGAAAGGGAACCAGCTCTTGGTGAACAGTAATACGATCTACCACAATGGCCATCAAGGGCCAAAAGGGATGTCTCAGGCCCTGAGAGTCTCTGGAATGAGGCTGATTCATCATTCTAGGGTCTTAGATAGGCTTCGAGGAATCTATGAAGTTGTATGAAAGTTCTGTGTGTGTGTGCATTTTTATGGGGAACCTTCACTGGATTCTTAAAGGATTTATACCGTGACCCAGAAAAGGTTAAGAATCGCTTCTTTAAAATAAAAAAGTTTGGTGTTGAACAGAGCTCGGAGAAGGATAAGTAAAGATTCAGTTCTATGAGAATCCATGTTGGTTAAGAGTCACATGACTGGAGCCATTCTGTGTGGAGATGCTGATGGGGGTTTGGGCTTAGATTTCCAGATGTGTGGAGGCCATGCCAAGGGACTGTACATGACTAATGAGGTCTTCTTCTTGGGTGACATAGGTTGTATCTGCAGCAAACACTCAATGACACTGTGGGCAGGAAGATTGTCATGGACTTCTTGGGTTTTAACTGGAACTGGATTAATAAGCAACAGGGAAAGCGTGGCTGGGGGCAGCTGACCTCCAATCTGCTGCTCATCGGCATGGAAGGTAAGAAATCGTTCTGAAAGCAGCATTGCTTAGAGTTTATACAAACCTGGTTCTAATCCTGTGTCCACCCGTTATTCACTTCATGACTTCAAAGCCTTAGCCTCATCTGCAAAAGGAACACAACAGTATCTTATAAATAGCTATAAAGGTTAAATGAGATAATGTGTAAGTCTTCAAGCTAGTTTCACGTACTCTAAAAAGAATCCTTTTCCCTTCCTTAGTTGCTGTGTTTGAGTGTGTATACTCACATATCAGGGATCTCTGAAATACTGCTCTTCCCTATTGGATCTGACTGTATTCAGAAGACTTTTATCCCAGTAGAAGAGGGAAACTTAATTTTTCAGTATAAACCTCATCTTCTGAACAGATAATGCATTCGTGGGGTTAAATTCAAAAGGTATCAATAGGTATGTAATGATCAATCTCTCTTCCACTCCTGTTTCCCAGCCTCCTAGTTTTCCCTCCCTGGAGGCTCCGCATGTTATTAGTTGTTTGTGTATCCTGCTAGAGGATTTTATGCATATACAAGCAAATATGTGAATATGTTCTTTTGGGTGTTTTTTTCTTTTGAATGCAAGGAGAAGCCTGTGAATTCTAATCAGAAGAAGGAGAGCTACTTATTGGCCAGAGTCATTGTCTCATTTTTTTGTCCAACACCAGTTCAGTGCCAGGTCCATACTTGGTAAATGGGGAGTAAATTGGGCTGAGCAAGGAAGCAGAGTAATTATTCACTGTCATTCACCACTGGGCTCTGAAGTCTCTTTTCCCTTTGATTGTCTTTTCTTCAAATTTGGATCTGGACCTTATGGATTGACCCTTAACCTGCCCCTTTGAAACCAACTCTTGGCTGACCTGCCAGGAGTCAGTTCCGGTTTACTTGACTGTTTTTCTGTCGCCTTCCTATGCTGTGGTAGAATGCAGCGAAATGGATCTGTCAGGTAGAGGTGAAAGAGCAAATCCCCTGTGAGGATGCGCAGGACGCTGAGCACTTAAGAAGGCAGCTGTCTTGGCCCACCCAGGCAGACCTGGGGAATGTTTTCTAAACACAGTGCCCTGCAGAGAGCCCTTCAGCACTCAAGGATTGTGGGAAGGATAAACAACAGGCGTGGCCTCAGTTATAAAAAGTAGATGGAGCATACCCACACTAGGGCAGAACTAATTCACGATGGTATTTAAAACATTTGCCTTACTCAAATTATACAACGCTCCTTAGGAACTTGATATGCTCCCCCCACCCCCCAATGAGAATCAACAGCCCCAGTGTTGCTCTAAGAAGTGTTGCATCCCATAGGTGTGGAGTGGGAGGAGAGGTTGAGAATCTTAGAGCTCCAGAAGAGCTACCCAAAGCAAGTACATATTTATACAACCTAAAATGACTGTGTAACTCCACATCAGGGAAGATCATGCATGCACTGTTGATACCAGTCATTTCAGTTGCTTCTCTTGTTTTGCTGCCCTTGAGTTCTTGCCATAGTCAAGAAGAATATAAGTATATATACAATGTATTACTTTGCTAGACTTGTATCATTTCGATGTGCTATTGCTTCCAGTAAGGGCAGCAGCCATCATTTAAGAAAGTCTGCTTTGCTAATTGATGCTGAATCCTTATTACTAGACTTACTACTGATTAAAAATCTAACATCTAATTTGCTGAGAGTTGTAATTACCATCTCCCTGATTCTGCCTGAAATTTTGATTAGGAACCCTTAGCTGAGAGAGCAGGCTGGGTTTCTCTCCATCAGGGGCCCTAAGTTCCAGCCTGTGCAGTGGAACCACTACTCTGAATAAGAAAATGTTTTTCTTCCTATAGGAAATGTGACACCTGCTCATTATGATGAGCAACAGAACTTCTTTGCTCAGATAAAGGGCTACAAGCGATGCATTTTATTCCCTCCGGATCAGTTTGAGTGCCTCTACCCATATCCTGTTCATCACCCATGTGACAGACAGAGCCAGGTGAGCTGAGGAGGGTATAGAACTCCTTGGGGATCCAGGGCTGGTATGCCTTTCCCCTTCCCTGTGGTGGTATGCCAGGTTTGGACAAGCTCAGAAGATAATTTCACAGTGTAGCTCATTTATTCCAGGCCCCTGTGGTGGTCTCCAGATGTTTACAAGTATAAACAGCCCCGTAGAGCTAATGCTGGAGGTCAGACCCCATTGCTGATGCTGATGGAGTCAGGTCACCCTGTTTGATTGGATTGTAAGTTCATGGAACAAAATGTGTAGTCTCCATTGGATTTAATAATTGTTTTCTTCTGTCATGGATGCTACTTTTTGATGAAAAGAAGGGCGTATAGAATTGGGATATGTCACTTAAGGTCTTTTTTTGCATCCAAGTGAGATATATGGTTGAGTTTCTGGCCAACCAGAGAGGTGCTTTTCTTTCTTGCGGTGAAAGCTGCCTAGCTACTTCATAGGAGTCTTGGCTGGTTCGAGTATGTGTTTGGGAGAAAGTTTCTGAAGGTTTGGGTGAAGGATGAGTCCTCTTCCCTCGTATCTGCAGGCCATGAGGAGGTTTTCTGACCTGCAAGCTGTGATGATTGGCTTCTAACCTCAGGAGCACTGAGGCCTGGGATTCTTTTTCACTCAATATCTGATCATAGCCTGTCTTCTGCTGTTCTCGGAGAGAGTTATGTGTATGTTTTATGTGTGTTGTGTCTTCTGCTGGATATAAATTCTAAAGACATTTTTAAGGCTTTCAGAATAAATGCCGCTTGGTAGTTACTGATAAAAGTTTGATGATTGACTGATTTTTTTTTCCCCCCTTTCTCTTGAATCTCTCAGGTGGACTTTGACAATCCTGACTACGAGAGGTTCCCCAATTTCCAGAATGTGGTTGGTTACGAAACAGTGGTTGGCCCTGGTGACGTCCTTTACATCCCAATGTACTGGTGAGGAGGAGGCTGGGACTGAGGGCTTCTCAGGAGCTTTCTTTCCCTTTCCCTGCAAAGCTGTATTTATGTCCCTTCTGAGCTGTGGGAGGACTGGGCTTACATGATCTAAGCAGCGGTTCTCGACCTTCCTAATGCCGTGACCCCTTAATACAGTTACTCATGTTGTGGTGACCCCCCCAACCATAAAATTATTTTCGTGGCTACTCTATAACTGTAATTTTGCTACTGTTATGAATCGTAATGTAAATATCTTTTTGTTTTCCAATGGTCTTAAGGCGACCCCTGTGAAAGGGTCATTTGACCCCCAAAGGGGTCACAACCCACAGGTTGAGAACCGCTGGTCTATAGGAAGTATCCAGATTTGGTGTATACAGATTTGAGAATAGTGAACATGGGGAAACGACACGCCTACCTCTAGGACAAGATGATAATTCCTCATGTCCAGAATGGTCCCAGAGGCTTGAGGCTGGAGAAACTGTTCTTGGCTCTTGGGTATTTAGAGACCGAATACCACTGCCTCTAGTCCCAGGGTGTGTTTGACAGGATGAGCGTAAAGGCACCGTCTTCATTATTTCCCTTCGCTGGACTCGCCCTCGTTTTCCATCCCTCCCTCTGAAAAGTATTGGTGGCAAACAGGAGCCTGTTTTGTTTTCTTTCAGGTGGCATCACATAGAGTCATTACTAAATGGGGGCATTACCATCACTGTGAACTTCTGGTATAAGGTGAATATGGGGGTTTTTCCTAGATGGGACTGGGATAAGGTAGGTGTAATAAATTATTTGGGGGCACGGTGGGGAGGTTGGCTATCTATGGAAGTGATTGCCAGGTGTCTGGGGAGATGAAGAAGGATGGACTTGCACTGTGTTTCTTAGAAGGGAGGCTGGTGCTAAGAATAGCGGGTGACACAAACTCTGCTGAAGGCGTTTCCTGAGCTACTGCTTCCTTTGCAGGGGGCTCCCACCCCTAAGAGAATTGAATATCCTCTAAAAGCCCATCAGAAGGTGGCCATAATGAGAAACATTGAGAAGATGCTTGGAGAGGCCTTGGGGAACCCACAAGAGGTATGTGGCTGCCCCAAGGTGGCATTCCTCTGGTTCATTGGGCAGTGACCAGGTAAAGGCAGGATTGGTGTCACGTTCTCTATAGCGTCTCTGTTTCAGTACCTGGTGTCCTCTCCATAGAGGTTATGGGTGTGTTCAGAAAATCCTTGTTTTTCTGGTGAGAGCTGGGCTTGACTGGCGGATCAATTATAATCTGTTCCATGCTGGTGGTAATGTTCCCCATGGGGCTTGTGTGCCAGCTGGGGACCCCTGAGGGGATTCTCTCGGAATGGGAAGCAAGCAGTAAAGCATCTCCTCACTCCCAGCTGTGCCAGGGCTGCTCCAGGTAATGCTGAGACCTGCTTCCTACACAGGTGTGCCAGTGGCCCGTCGGACAAGTGGGGGAGGCTTGTATTTGTAACACTGTTGCCTCCATCCTGTGGCTAGCTTCAACAGCCAGAGAACTTGTGGGGTTGGGAGGTGGCGCTAGCCCCACTTGCAGGTGACCTTTTCAGGATACAGAAGCGTGTAACATTCTTAAGGCACATTTAAGAAACTCTTGGGTGTCTGGGGATTATTAGCTCCTCTGCCCTTCTGTCTGTCAGTTTGGTGCTGCGTACAGATACAGGGTATTGTGAGGGGGAAGATAGACCCAGAAGAGAGGGCCATGCCCCAGAATACTGGGTTGGCCCCCAGGAAGAATTGGTTAGAGGGCTTAGGAGATTGAATGAAAGCCTGGTTCTTGCCCTTGGCTGGACTGCGAATGTCTCCAGACACACCCCTGTTTGGCTCCAGGGTCAGAGAACAGGCAGTTCTGACTGGCTCCTCATGTCTCTTCACAGGTGGGGCCCTTGTTGAACACAATGATCAAGGGCCGCTACAACTAGCCTGCCAGGAGTTGAGGCCCCTGCCAGGTGACTGCTAGCCCGTCCACACCGCTTCATTGATGAGGACAGGAGACTCCAAGCTCTAGTATTGCACGCGCACTTAATGGACTGGACTCTTGCCATGGCTCTGGAGGCAGGTGTTTGGGGCAAGGCAGGGTGGTCGGCACTCCACTCCTGTTGGGAGGGACTTCTTACCCTCGCCTCTGTGCCCCTGCACCTTCCCTCTCTGCCTCCCTAAAGTCCTGCATTCAGTGTTGGAGTCCCAGCTTCTGGTTGTCATCATGTCTGTGTGTGTCAATCTGTCAACCTCGGGATGTGTGTGCGTGCACACGCATACGTGTATCTGTTCTTGCGCCCTCCTTTGGGTCAGGATGCCACTCTTGTTCTCAGTCCTGTCTCCTGCAGCCTCAGTGCCTCCGCCTGAGAGAGAGGAGATGCACTTGGATGCCCACTACACCTGGGCTGCAGGGCCAGAGCTGTCCTGCCCCTTAGGTCAGCCAGCCTCCTCCCAGGCTTCACAGAGTCAGGCTCTGTGCTGGGTGGAATGGCTACTGGGACTCGAATGGGGAGAGTAAGCGGGAGGTTTGCCTTTGAGAGCCTAGAGAGCTTCCTGTGAGAGAGAAGTAGGGTTCCAAATGGGACCTTCATGCCCAAGCCATACATTAGAAAAGAGCCTTGGGACACAAGAACCAAGGATTGTGCATAAATTCCAAATTGCAGGCACACGCAGCTTTTCTCTTTCAGCACCAGCTCTTGCTCCCTGTGCTGGGTACCAAGGGAGTCCTCCTAGCAATGGCTTCTCTAGGTTCTAGGGATGCGAGCCTCTGTGCGGGGGTGTGTGTATGTGTGCGCGTGCGCGCGCATGTATGTGTGTTCACACTGGCCTGCTTACCAAGTTTCTCTACTGCTTAACCTTGTCCAGTGGGACATACAGTGGGACCCCCAGGGCAGTACTGCCTGACCTAACCTAAAGCTCTTAAACTCAGTTTTAGCCATTGGATGTTGGTCAGGTCTCACTGCAGCCTGCCTGAGGCTGACTGGCCAGAGCCTCCAGGTCCTGCGACCCTCTTGCCCAGGCTACGTCCTCCACGTCTGCGGAGCTTCCTGGCTGAGTAGACAAAATGGGATCAAGCCTAGGCAGCTAACTCACCACCACCTGTCATCCACCTCACCTCACGGCAAGGGCAGAAACATAGCCTTGTCTCTCAAGCCAGCGCCTCTGTCAAACCCACTGTAATGCTCACAAACACCCTCGGAAGTCAGGGCGACGGGTGGAGCACAGAAGTGGAATTGCCTTTTCTGTTCAGAGCTGCTCGTGGGAACCCCTGTCAGAGCTGCAGCTTACAGCCGGGCACTGCGCAGCATGAAGGCTGTCATTCACATCTGTTCAGCGGAAGTGGGGCCCCTGGAATTGGGCAGCATGGTGGCCCTGTGTCTTGTCACCTCCACTCTCATTCCCTGCCCTTTCTCTGGAAGGAAAGAGGAGTTGGAGTCGGGGGTAATTTTTCCTTTTTTTTTTTCCTTTTTTTGCCAAAGGTTTACTTCCAGTGTCTGAGCTATGGCTGTTAGCCCCAGAACTGTTTACAGTGACAGTGCACTGATGGACTGAGAGGATGTGTGTGTATGTGTGTGCGCACCTGTGTGTGTGTTTTGGGGAGGGGTGTTTATTTTTAGTGCCCCATTCTGGGGTTCTCTGATGCAGTGTGGGGGTGCAAACACGGTACCTTCTCAAGTGTAGTTCTTTCAAATATAACCAATGCTGGGAAATGTGATTGCAGTGATCTCCATCCCTCCATCTCTTTTGGGAAAGAGGAACACACAAAGAAAACAAGGCAGACGGAGGATAAACTTGGCCGCAACCACACTTTGAAAGAGAGCGGATTGTTTTCGTCCTTGTCTACTGCGTTCCTGGCTCGGCCGGCAAAGATGTGGGTGATGCAGGACAGGGAGGTGTGTGCCACTCAGTGGGCCTTGCTGGGTGCTGTGCCCACACAGGTCTGATACGGTGACCAAGAGGCAGGGACCTTCACAGGATTGGTTCTGATCCTTGGGTAGTATCATAGTCACCCCTGATTATTAGACACCTAATATGTGCCTAGTGCTTTTATCTTTGTTCCTCAGGATCCTGCAAGGTGGGTATTCTCATTTTACAGCTGAAGAAATGGGCTCAGAGGTTAAGTGTTTAGTGGCAATCAAGATTTGAACCCAGAGCTGTTTGGCTACAAACCCCCTGCTGCTGCTTTTCTACCAAACTCTGCTGATTCTCTTACCTCCTCCCTTGTACTACAGGCCATTCTCAGATCTCACCCCGCTGGGCAATGTCTGGAGCAGACAGGCTTAGCCCAAAAGGGTGCAGAAGGTACATCGTGGGATGAAAGCTCTTCTGGGCTCCAGCTACAGACATCTGGGAGAACTGCCAGGAAGCTGTCTTAGGAGTTAGGGGAGTGCTGGAAGGGGCTATGGGGAGATTGAGTCCTAGGTCCCATTGTGTTACTTACTAGTGTGTCCTTGAATAGGTCCCTAACTTCTCCCAGCATGCTTTGCATCGACAGCATCGAAGAGTTAGTTCTAAGAACCTTGATTCATGTTCTGCTGCCTCCTTTTCCCCCACGGAAGAGGTTGCGGTTCTTCACTTACCTAGGTTAGGGCCATTCAGACTCAAATTCTGCTTGGGGCGGAGGAAACATTTCTGCTCTGTTGCTTATCCTGATGGAAGCAGACACCAAAGGGCAGTGGGGGTTTGGGACTGCATGGAGGTCAGCCATGTAGGCTCCCATTATATACGAGCAGGTACAGGGGAAACGACTCTCTTTTGAAGTCAAATATTTGTTGGGGGGTTGGAGTTGGAGGATGGAGGAGGGGCTGTTCTGGGCATCAGTTGAGCAGATGCCCAGGATGCCTGGGGGAGACCAGCTTCCCCTACAAATCAGAGCTCTAAATTACAAGGTTTTTACCAACGCGAACAGTTGGGGGAAGTCGTCTGCTCTCATTTGCGTAATGGTTTCTGTCACTGGTGATTAGACACAGGATGAAGGAAAAGAAATTTGACAATTAGGAATGAGCGATCATTAATCTGAATCTGTTAGGAGACAGAGAGGGGAAGGATCCTTATCAGTGGGCCAGCCCAGTGTGAGGAGACACACTCTGCCCCCTGGAGACTCGGGTCACGGACCCTTTCATTGTCCCACAAGAAGGCTGAGCTGGTATTTCTTCAGACTAGGTGGGCCCACTCCCCAGCCTGAGGCGGATGCAGGGACAGACTAATACAGGCGTGAACCAACAGAGAGAAGAGGGGTGCCGAATGCAAGCGATAGGGCAAAGAAGAACAAGGGGATAGTTCGGACGTGTGTTCCTGTTGGTGGAAAATGTTTTTGTAGTCACTCCAGACACCCGACCTATGACAAGTATTTGCCACATTCCAACACTGAAGGGTGTGGAGAAAACCTGTTCTCTAGGAGCTTCTGCTTAGTTGGAGAGGAAACCACACGAAACAACCAAAGGTTATGAAGCCATGTATCATGCACCCTGTGAGGACGAGGCTAGAGACTGGAAGGAGGAGGAAGAGAGCAGAGCTCTCCAGGCTGCTCCAAGCCCCTGGGCTCCCCAGAAAGGGACTCTGCACTCTAGGCCTTCCAGCAACATTGACGTTCTTCCTTCCCCACGTTGCAGCTGGAGTTACGTGTGCAGGGAGGGCACTGGGGCCCTTGCCAAGATGTGTAGGCAGGTGCTGAGGTTAAGAGGCTGAGTCCCAACTTGGATCTTCCCGTGGCTCCTTGTTTGCCCTCATCCCCTCTCTATCTTCAGACTTCAAGGACAATATTAATTTGCACCAGTTGGTGGGTTCCTCAGTCCTGTGACGTGTGTGTGGTGGGTTCCTTAGACGAGAGGCTCCTGCAAGGAGTGGGGCAGTGTGCTTGCGCCTCTGTTGGAGTGTGAACTCACAGATGCAGCTGTCTCTCTCCCCTTGGTAAATTCCCTATCCTTGGGTCTTCTCCCGTCAAAATCCACTTCCGAGTTTAGTGGGGCTACAGGGAATGGCCCTCAGTGTCCAGTTTTACCCAAACAGTGAATGCTGGGGTGCACCTGGAAGTGGCTCATGGGCCTCCGGAGGCTCTGACCTGATGGCAGTCCATATCTTCGAGGGCCGTCAGTGCTTGTCTCCACTCCCTGCCCACCTCTCTGGTGTCCTCACAAACTGCTCTAAAGAGAGGTTCCAGCTTCTCTTTCCAGAGCTCCCTCAGTTTCTCTATTGTCTCCCCCTGCCCAGTCTCCAGCAGCCCTTTCACCAAGGTCCTTTTCCCTAAACGGGTGCCCTTTCCTCAGCCTCCAGACTGCAAGTGTTTGGATGGACTTGCTAGGATCCCTCTCCCTGAGGTCGTCACTGTTAATCTTTTTTTTTTTCTAACCTGTGATAGCTGTTTATTAACACAACGTTAGTCCATTCTGTGTGTGCTCTGTCCTCTTGTCATTCTGCTGTTCGTTCTGTACATCCCAGTTTAGTTTTTCTAATTGGTGACCCTTTCTGCTAGTCGTCAGCCAGCTGTGTAATCCTCAGGTCTTGGGATCCTCAGCAGAGCCCTGCTGAACGTTTTTGGTGCATTTCTGGGGGACAAAGCCTCAGACACTGGCAGCCTTGAGGCCCAGGGGCCTATGGTCAGTCCAGCCTCTAGAGATGGGTGAAGGGAGGGTACTCGGAGAGTCATGAACAGTGGAGAACCAGCGAGGGGGGCTGGGCAGGAAGTTCCCCAGGAGTAAGGCCTGGCAAGCCAGGGTGGAAGAACCCAAGTCTGTGTTTCCACCCAAATGCATCTGTATGCCTTAGGGTCCAGCAGTTAGGGATGGGAGCATTTTGTGAATGTCTCCGAATTTCTCTCAGGTGTTTCTGGCGATGCTCCGAGTCACCAAGTGTAGCTTACCTCTGCATTTCAGCACTTGCTGGAAGGAAACAGCATATTGAGTAGTCATATGTCAGGAGCGGACATCTTAGGTGAGAAAGGCCCTGGAAGCCGGCAGCTGGAGACGGGGACGCGGTGGTCAGCCTGTACCCAGACCTTCCACTCCTCCAAGTGTTTTAAGTACAATAGCTGACTATGGACCTTGCCTTCCTCCCCACTTAAAACCTGGTCTTTGGGCAATATTTTGGGAAGGAGAAGATGTTCTTTAACGTCCAATGAAAAACATTCTAGCCTAGCATTTAAAAGCATGGATTTGGGAGTCAGATGTCTTTGGTTCAGATTTCTAGCATTGCTACTCACCAGCTGTGTTTGAACTTGTTGATTGATTTCACCTCTCTCAGCCTCAGTTTCCTCAAGGAAAATGATGTGTGTGGGAGGGAAGGGGGTGTTGAAAATATCTACCTCCCAGTGGTTGGATTAACCTAAACAATGTAAAGCTTTAGCACAGTGCCTGGCAAGCACTTAATAAATGGCGTGGTGGTGGCAATGGTTGTATTTATTATGTGACTTAAACGATTTCAGTGATTCCTAAGATTTCCAGTGATTCCTTACCATCTCAAGAAAAACATAGGGAAGAATAAGGAAAATGCCCTGGAGAAACCCATATGGAACGGAGCTGGGGGCAGCCAGAGCTTTGGTACCTACACCTGTCCTAGAGGAAGGGAGGGAAACGGAAGTGCCTGATGTCTTCTGCCTGATCAGCCAGATGACTCCTCTCCGCAGCAGCCTGAAGCCAGTGAGAAGCTGTCAGGTGCAGCTCTCCTTACCCTGCATGAGGGGTGAGGGGTGAGGGCAGCTGAAGGAGTTCCCGTTACACCCGGAGAAGCTATTGCCAGCGCCTTCACACCGTGAGACACTGTGGCCATCAAGTCAGGCCCCTTAGGTTCAATTTTATTCCATGCCCTTCAGTGTATTAAATTGCAGGTGTGTTAAGATTGTTCTAGGACAGGGGCATTCAGAAGAGAGTTCAGAAAAATAGAAGACCGGGATCTTAATAATTACCATTTGTGGAGCACCTTGGAGCATTTATGTTCCAGACCCTGTGTGCGTTCCTACTCCTGTGCTGGCAGGCAGTGGGGGTGACAAGCAGGCTATTAGCATCACAGGCTCAGGTGTTCCCAGTAGGCTTCCTGCAGGAAGGACCACATCCTAAGCTGAACCTGGAGGATAACCAGGAGTTGGGGAGTGGTAAAAGGGGCTTAATTTTCTCCTCTGGTTTCTCTCCCAGTTCCCAAACAAACACTGCTCCTCCATGTTTAAGGGTTTTGTTAATCACTCCTGAGAAAGAGCCGGGTGATGAACCTCAAAAGGAAGAAAGCCCTTTGATAAGCCACAGAAATCTTGGAAAATCATTTTGGTTGCTGGCCCAGATTTGCCCTGGAGTGCAGCTGGATTGGACTTGCTCATTTGCAATCCCTCCACTATCCTCAGGAGACTGGCCTCCGAAGCCACCCTGCCCACCCTACTTGGAAGAGATGCTGGACCCAGTTACGCAGACCTCGGCCCGACACATGACTATATTCTGGCTGCCTGGGCTTCTCGACCTCTTCCTCATTGTACTGCGATCCCCCAGTCTCTTAAGTTCTGTCCCCACCTCTCACGCCCCTCCTCCCCACTAAACTAAACCTCTGCAGTGCCCATCTGTAGCCCCTCACAACCTCTTGCCTCTGACCCTGGTCCCCAGGCCCATGGGTGAAGAAGACGCCTCTCTAGCTTGTGCTAAGCCATCTCTGGATTGCAGACCATTCTGTAGTCACCTTGCATTCACCTCTGCTTCTAGATTTCTTTGGCCCCAGAAGATTGTGCTGTGTTTTATTCAGTTTGCTGAAAACCTATTACTTGATCATTGAGGTCCAGATTCTGCCCTTCAGGGAAACTGCTCCTTAACCCAAAATCGAAGCTACATCTGGGCTAGGTTTTATTACCTCTCGAGTATACAGTGTGGAGCGCAATATAGGGTAGTGGTTGAGAATCAGGGCTTTGCATACCTGACTTTGAATCCTAAATCTGTCATTCAGTGTGACCTTGGGCAAATGACAAACTGCCTGAAACTCAACTTCAAATGTATGGGTATAACATTACCTACCTTGTCAGGGTTACGTGAAATAAGGTGTGTTAAGAAAGGCTTAGTGGAGTGACTGTTCCATGGCAATGGCCCAGTCGTCTCTTTCAAAGCCTTTACCTCTCCCATCTAGCTTTCTGACTTAAGGTCCTGCTTCTAGTCTCAGGTCAAGTGCAGTTGGCAGCTCATGAGCAGAGCAGAGAGATGAGCATACGCTTTTCCTGCTCGTGTCACCAGTCGACCCCTTCTCAGTGACCTCTGACTCAAGGACAACAAATTCAAACTGCCTTCGCTGGGGAATTTTCTTCCAAATACGTATTTTTTGAATATTGAAAATACCTGGAACACCCTGTAAGTGAAAACAGAAGACATCAGATGTGCTGCCCCCAGGGGATAAGAGGCACTGAAGGTGTGTGCAAGCTGCCAGCACAGCGGGCCAGGACACAGGAGACAGATTAGTGCAGAGGCTGCCATGCTAGTCTAAAGGCAGCAGGACCATGGGCTGGAGAAGGTTCCCTTCAAGTCTTTGAATAGTGAGCTTTTGACTGTTTTGTTTGAGCAAAACCCCATTTTTATAATCAGTGTGGTCATGGTTCTCACAAAAGTTTGTGTGATGTCTTTATAAAAATGAGGCCTTGGATGTGACTCCTAATTTGGAATCCCTGTTTGCTACTTCCTAACTCTGTAACCTTAGGTAAGTTAAGGTGCCTAGGTCTGGGCCACTTACAAGGGGTGGGAAATAGCACACGGCTGGCAACATGGTTATGAGGGTTGTGTAATGTTTTCAAGACACCCAGTTCAGTGTGGGCACCAGGAAATGGTTTATTAGCAAGACCAGGTGTCTGCCAACAGTGTTTAGTTAGTGTTTGGATAGAAACTGTTGGCAGCAGGGCTTTTTTAATCCTACTCTGACTCAAGATGCTCGAAGTAGAATCGCAGAGGAAATGACGTGGGGTGAGGGAAACAAAATGGAATAGATCATAGGGCTGTGGAAGAGACTGAAAACCCCTAAAAGACAGGAGATGCTTGGTGAGGTCTTGAGAAGAAGCAGAGTCCTACACTCTAGGTTACCACCTAATCCAAGAAGATCAAAGGCAAGGGTGTGTGTGGAGGCCACTGGCTGAAAGGAAGGCACACAAGGTTCAGGGGCAGTGAACCTACGTGTGACTCTTAGATGTAGTTTTCACAAGCTGGGTGATTTGGGGCATGTCTGTCTCGATGCCTCAGTCCCCTCATCTTTAAAATTGGTTATTAGTATTGCTACCTTCCTTACAGGGTTGATGGGCCAATACATGTGAAGATGCTGTCTAAACTGAGCACAATATGTTAGTTGCTGGGTTGTTGGGTGGGGGGTTAGGAGAGCTTTTCCAGGGTGGGTGGGTCACAGAATTGCAGGAGTTCACAGATTCGAGCCTCCCACATTTCTAACAGGAAGCAGCATTTCCCACCAAAACACTGCACTTTCACTCTGCCAACATTCGACTAGTAAGGATTTCGTTTTGATTTGAGAAAGAAAAGCTGTGTGATGCGAAAGGGTGTAAATTTTGAGGTTCATGGACTAGGTTTGCATCTTGGTTTCACCATTCCCAACATTGAGATCATAAGATTACTTATCGTCTCTGAGCTTTGGTTTCTCAGCAGGTCCCCGCATGTGGCTATTGGGAATGAATGAGACACCTCGAGTGAAACAACCCAGTGCCTAGCGCCCGCCTAGGAAGTGTCCAATAAGTGTTAACCCCCTTTCAATTCTTTCCCCCTTAGGAAGTATCCAGTTTAGCCTCAGTTGTCCCTGCCTTAATGGAAACAAGTAATATCAGATTTCCCTTTTTTTTCTAAGGTGAGGTCAGCTGCCCTAAAAGAACAGGAGTCTGAGGGTGAGTGGGCAAAATGGAGAAGGGGCTACAATGTTAGAGATGAAGTAGAGATCCTGTGGTCATCTAGGTGGCGTGGGGGTGGGTGAAGAAAGGATGATGTTGAGAGGTGAGGGTTTCAAGAAAGGTGGGTGCTGAGTGCTAGAGGGGAAAGCCAGTCGAGGGGGGGCAGCGCCGGGGGAGGACAGGACAGTGCACTAAGGGTGAGGGGACCGACCAGAGTTCTGCAGGAGAACTTTAGGAATTGTGACTGCAAGTCAGAGTTGTGAGAAAAGTCCTACATTCAGCCAGCTGTCATCTTAATACCTGTAAGAGTGTGGTCTTCCCAAAAAGGGAGGATATGAAAAGAAAGCAGAAATCATCAAGATGGAAAGACTTTTAAGTGTTTTCAGAGCCAAGGAAATGCACCACCCAATCAAGGTGTATGACAGCTCAGGGGGGTTCTAGACTTCTGTGAGAAAATGCAATTAGGTACTGAAGAGCGTCAAACCCAGGGGTGTGAGCTGGGTGACCACTTCTTTAAGCAGTGGAGGCCCTGTGATAGGGTTTTCATAGGCCACAAATAGGACTTGTTGGGTCCCTTAGAATCCAGCCAGTGGCCCAACCCATCTTCCTGGTTGCTTTACAACCTCACTCATCTGAGAAGGCAACCTCCAGAAGATATGGGGCAGCTAAATCGTTACCTTGATAGGTAAGCATCTTTTAATGCTGGAGGACTTAGAATGAAGGATAGACATGCTTAAGAACATCAAACCCACAGCATTACTATGCTTGCTTTACACTTTGCTATACAGTTTGTATCTTAAGTCCTTGACATATGAAAGAGAATTTGCCTCTAATATTATCAGGTTTACCTTGTAATACCAACTAAAGGGTGTTAGGTAATTTATTTCGAGTTGAATTTTAAGTTGAAATCTTGCTAAGTTTCTATATAGTTTTGGAATGCTTAAAATGATTTAAGACTTGCTGTATTTATAAACTTAATGTGTTGGTGATATAGTAATTAAGTACTTGGGAAGGTATGTTTTAGTCAGATAAATGAAGTCAAGGAAATCAAATATATTAACCTTACATTAAATCAAACTCCTTTGTTTTATAAGCAAAATAATGTTTGTAAAAGCTGAACTTAAAAAGCTTAGACAAGAACTAGGATTTGTACATATAACTTTGAAAATTGAATATAACTTAAAACCAAAGTAATTTCTGGATATTTATTTCTATACAGAAATGTAACCCTCACAGATATCAAAAACACTCACAGGGGAACTAAATGTAGTGTTACTACAAATGCAAGTCACTTAGCCTCTTCAAGTACCAGGCAACTGGCAGCAGTTACGATGGCTGCCATGAGTAAAATCAAAGCTTCAAACGTGTTTTTGAAAGTTTTTTAATTAGTTGGCAACACTTGAGATAAACTTTTATCTAAAAAATCCAGATTTTTGGTTTCTCTGGAAAATCAGAAGATCTGGCAGCCGTCAAGTCACATTTCCCTTATGACTACAATTGGCTGCAGCTGAATGGCTACTACCTCTTTGGGCACGTTCCTTCCAGCTTGCCAGCCACCACTCTTCATTTGGGTACTTTATACCTGGTTT